TTTTACTTCCCCACTAGCATTGGCAGCATTTCTAATTCCTTTCTTCTGTTCAACATTTATTATTCTCTTTTACATCATAGCCATTCTACTGGATGTGAATGGTGTCTCATTGCAGTTTTGACTTGTGTATCCCTAATGACTAATGATATTGAACATATTTGTCTATGTGCTTATTGACCATTTTTGTGTCTTCCGCAAAGAAACCTGTATTTCGGGTCTCTAATTTTATTGCTTTAATTTAATATTTTCATTATTACTACTCTTAAAAGTTATAATTTATTAAATTGTTTGATTATATTTGATATCACAGACTAATAGTGGGCATATTTTATTATCATTCATTTTTTAGAAACATTAATAGTTTTAAGAAAACACCTGGCCAAACATGATGGCATGATGTGCCTATAATCCCAGTGTTTGGAAAGTTGAGGAGGCTGAGGCAGTAAGATAATTTTTTTTCCTGATTGGGGGGTGGGGATAGAACACAGGACCTTGAGTTTGCAAGGCAGGCACAGTGCCATCCCCAGCAGTGAGATCATTTGATGTCAGAAGTGGAAGACCATGCTGGTGCAACATAGTATAACCCTATCTCTGGGGCCAGGGATTTAGCTCAGTGGTTCCGCTGTCTGCCTCCCAAGCTCAGGGTCCCGACTTTGATCCCCAGTACCAAAAACAAAGACTTGGTACCCCTGTGACCACCTGGAATACTGAAAATATAGAAAGGCTCAGAATTCAGTGACAATGATTAGGTAAAGGCAATAATGTCTAATGTCTTTCAAAGCTTTCTTAATATGCAGCTGTGGAGAAAAGTCAACTAAGACTTGGATTATCAATGCGTTAATGTCCAGGATAATGTCAGGTACGCCTGAGAGTACAAGATTTGCATAAAAATTAACCATTAAGGACCAGGAAGTCTTTTTTGCCTGTGGAAAACTTTTAGTGTTACATAGATTTCCTAGAACAGCAAGACTGTGGGGAGAGATTCCTTAGAAATAATAATCAGATGAGATTTCTCCAAAGCTTACTCCTGTAGATCATAAATCAAAAGCACCACAGGAGTCTGGGTTCCTGCACTGCCAGTTAGAAAGAAGAGATACAGAACTCCATTTAGCTTGTTATTTAAATTTAGGTAGCCTTTGGGAATTTTGGTGAGTCTACAGAGTTGTTACAGCAGCATGACTGTGGCTCAAATTCTTATCTATTTTAATATCTTTGTATTCAGAATTTTGGTGCTAATTCTTAGGTAGCTAATTTATAAATTGGAAACATTATTGCCTGTAGTGTTGTTAAAGAATTTAAATCCCATATGTTATTTGTAACAATTTTTATATTTGTACAATAGAGTGCTTAAAATGTTAATATATTAAATTACTTATTTCGTTGCAATTGATATAGCAGATATAGCATACTGTAATTTAGTAGATATGTTACTATATATACTATTGTTACTGTGTCATATACAAAAGTTTCATGTGTTTTTTTTATTTTACTCTTTGTGGTTTTCTATTTAAAGAACAGAATATAGTTCATAAGTCTAGGATAGTAAACTTATTTTAATCTTTAAAGCCCTAAGGACTGAAGGAACAGTCAAAAGAATCTGTCACAGGCCTTTGTGATAACTTAAAAATACCATTATTAAAATAATAGATGTGAGATTGTTATTCTAAAAATAATTAAATATTTGAATCAATTTTGCATATCCCCAACCTTTATCAATACAGTATAGCATTACTTTAAAAACAATATTTTGATAAAAAGAAAAACTTCAAAAAGTAGAAAGTTAGAAATGGTCTGCTTCTTATTGTAATTGACTTTACTACTGTGTACATGTTCCATCAATTTTGCTTTGAATTCAAGTGCTATTGAGAATAAAGGAAAAGAAGAAAGGTTTGTAAAGCTGCTGATGCACAATTCCTAGAAAGTTTTTCTTGTATACTTCATAGTTATGTGCAGAGGGAATTTATCTTTGAGGCTTTGGAAAGCGTTTACCTGTAAAGACGTTTTCATAGTACTTCTGGAAAAGCAGCTGCATTTATAGACAGGAAGAATCATTTGGATTTCCATTAAGTCTTTTTCAAAATTATTGGAGATTTAGTCTAATTCTCCTGTGTGTATATGACTCTCAGACGTGAAATTTCACCCTGGTTGCTCTTATTGAGTGTCAATTATAGCGTTTTCACATAGGTATTTTAATCACAGTTTCTGCTATTTATTACTTCCTTTGCAAGCTTTTTACCACCAATTGCTCACTGTTACCTAGGAGAGATTATTTTATCTTCACATGTTTTTGGCTGTACTCCTTACATCCTGGCTCTGAAGATTTTGTACTTATTTTAATAACTCTAAATTGATAGTTTCCTTAGAGATTAAATGAAAACTGACTTGTTACAACTTATAATTTTCAACAGTAAGTGCGACAGAATATTACTTTAAAGAAAAAAATTAAGACATTTCTGGTGTTGCTTTTCTCTGTTTAATGATAGTTGTGCATATACTGCATAATTTTGTGGGTACAGCAAGTGCCAAGTTTCGTAGTAAAATTGAGAATATCTGTTTACTATGCCTCGTTAAGGTGTGCTAGGATATTATCTCATGATTTTCTAAATTAAAGTAAGAGCTTTAAATTGATAGAAGTGAATGAGAAAGGATAATAAAGAGCCATTGAAAATTACTTGAGACCAATTAAATAAGAGCCAAACTTTGGCTCATTCTGAAATGAACAGCATATGGCTGAGTGTCAGTGGTCTTGTATTCTAAGTCCAGTTCCAACCTACACAAGTGGACTTATTTAAAGAACTCAGGTTACTTTTGCTTTAAATCTGTCTGCTCATCTGTTAAAGGGGAAACAATTTATTGTAATTTGAAAGTTGAGCAATAAGAGTTTTAAATTTCTCAGCATTACGTATTGTATGTCCACTCTAGGAATCATGTGTGTTGGGTAAGAAATGCACTTCTTAATTTGTAGGGCGAAATGGGAATTCAATTTTATTTAGAAGGTTTTATGTGAAGTGAAAGAAAGAGTTCTGAGGGATTTCACTGGAACGTATTAGTTTGCTGCCTTTTAATTCTGGAAGCTTTACCCAGTAAAAGTCAAATCATGTTTCCATAGTGGTTCTCTTTCTTCCCACTCCTCAACGTTCCCTATAAAAAGTCCGTGAATACCCACAGAGCGTAATACAACAAACTCCTCAGTACCCATCCCTTCACTTTCCCTCAGTGTTGTGTGCCTGTGTGTGTCCTCCCTCGCTTACTCTCCCTCTCTCTCCCACCTATTTTTTTTTAATATCGTCCAACCCTCAATGTTTCAAGCTGTGAATAAAGCATTGCCTTCTCTGGTTTATGGGATGTTATGTTTGATCTTTGAATATAGATAATGCATAAAGCAAGATACAGTGGATAAAGAAAAATATTTTTTCGTCGCTAGAAACTTTAAACTAAATCCTCCCAGTGTTAGCCTTCAGATCCTATCTGTACGTGTTATATTGTTGTTATATTGTTTTATAATTAAACTCATTAGTTTTTCTGCACCTCGGATTTGTAATAACTGCTACTGAGTCCATGTGAAGATGCACCGTGTTTCTTTGCCTAATGTGTTTGCTTTCTTCTCATGTAAACTGAGATGCCAACAAAAGGCAACTTAGCAGACTTGCTTCTGCAGGAAGTAATGTTTCATGCGTTTACAGTGAAGTGATTGTAGTTCTATCACAGTGTAGCACATTTTTAATTAAATTTCTAAGTGTATATGACAACTATCTTGTTTGCTTAAACTAGTGTTACTTTCTTGCACCTCAAATGACCCCTTTGAGCTCTCTAATACATCAGAATTATGCATTAAATATTCAGAATGTGAACAAAAATAAAGAATAGGGTTCAACATTTTTCAGAAACCATGTCATCTCTTTGTGATAGTATTCTTCCCATTTCCAACTCCCCATCATTGAAAATGAAACTAAATTTCTGAATAATTCCCAGTAGAGAAGATTAAGTAATATTTTAAAATTTAAAACATATGTTAAATATTTATTGTTCGTTTTAGGTATGATTTGTGAAACTTTACTAAATTGATGGATCACAAAAACTTAAAAAGATATTTGTGTAATAAATATACCTGCCTTTACTAAAAATGTTTACATGGTGAAAATTTACCTAGCTAAATTTTAATCAAAGATAGATATAATTATATAAAGGATGTTAAATGGTGACCTAATTTAATAAAATCTACACAAATAAGAGGGAACTTCATTAGAAGATAAGAGACATCTGTACCCCCTGCATTTCAGAGAGCAGTTGCTGGGTTAGCATCAGCATGGAAAAGCAGAGTTTCAGCCTGTGTACAGCTGGTGCCTTTCTTCTAGTTTCTGGTAGTGTAGAGATTTGCTATTCATAGGGCTTCATTTTTAGTAACAAAAGGAGTTCTTATAATGGAACACAACCTGCATTATAATTTAAGTTGGTTAAAGCATATCTTGAAGTTCCTGATACTTTGGGGAAAGGTATTTCTGTCATATTCAGGTAGAGGTTTTTATATCATTATGGTACTAATTTGGTAATTAAAGTTATATTAATATTTTTCAACATTGACTAAATGCTTGAAGTTGGATTCAATGCTATGTTAGATTGAGAAAACATAACATGGATTGTGTTCATGGAGAACAACGTACAAGTTAATTATTTTTAAAAACAAAGTTAAAATTGACTTAAATTTCTGAACTAAGAATTCTAAGATTTTTATCTACATAGATGATGCTAGTGTTCAGCTCTGTATTTCAATCTTCAGACTGATGCCAAATAGAGGTGCTGGTTTGGTGTATCATTTTGTTTCTACTATTTTTTCCTTAAAGTAGATCATAATATGAAGCTACTGATGCACACTAAAGCAAATATTTTATCATGAATCTTGTTCATTAGATGTTTTATTCTTTGCTAAATATTCCTAATTTGTTAAAAGGCCTATTTACTGAGTCCTGTGTTTCTATTTTCACTTTCTTTTGCACATGCAGCCTGTGGTCGTGGATTCTACAAATCTTCCTCACAGGATCTTCAGTGCTCTCGTTGTCCAACCCACAGTTTTTCTGAGAGAGAAGGCTCTGCCAGATGTGAATGTGAGGATGGGTATTACAGGGCTCCATCTGACCCGCCATATGTTGCATGCACAAGTAAGTTCATAATGTGAGAGATTTTCAGAGCCCCGTTCGTTTGTCTATTGAATACCATTAAAATACATATTGACTCCATGAATACATTCTTAATTATCTTCAACTATTCTTAAATTTTTCCATAAGTAGATAAGGATAGGCAATCACATACAACAGGTATTTCTTACATCATTTGCAGTGTAATTTACATATCACCATTGTGTATTTTAATGTTTTTGTACGTATTTAGTAGAAATCATAAATTAAGTTATATGTGTCTTGCATATATATGAAACGTGATTAAAAAGCAGTGTTTTCTGAATTAAAATTCCATTGCTAAATTGAGTAAATCTCACATTTTGGTGCTTCAATTAATGAATATTTGAGAGGCTCAAAGTCGAAGCCAGTCCCACACATTAGTGTAAATCATTCTTGAGTACATTAAGAATGAATAAATGTATTCTCTGTTATATGGTTAAAAGGAAAACTATTTTTAAACAAGTGTACCACTGTGTTTTCGATGCCTTAACTGTTCTTTTTTAATTGCTTGGAAGAAAAATAGCTAAAGACTGTGGCAAAAGCACAAAGACAGTTGTTATTCTGCTTTCATTTTGACATATTAAATGGAAAATAAATAAAGTCTCTTGCCAAGTAAATTCAAGGAGGCTTTTATACAGCTTCTCTGGTAAAGGTAATGAAATATTTATGTGAAAGAAAGCATTTGAGATAGGTCTTGCTTTGGTAATTGGGCCACTAGCTCACTATTCCACATAGATCCTATTGCTCATTTTGTTTATATGCTCCTTTTTAATTTTTTGTTTGTTGATTTATTTTTTATTTTCAAAGGGCCTCCATCGGCACCCCAGAACCTCATTTTCAATATCAACCAGACCACAGTCAGTTTGGAATGGAGCCCTCCTGCAGACAATGGGGGAAGGAATGATGTTACCTACAGAATATTGTGTAAGCGGTGCAGTTGGGAACAGGGCGAATGTGTTCCCTGTGGGAGTAACATTGGATACATGCCGCAGCAAACTGGATTAGAGGATAACTATGTCACTGTCATGGACCTGCTGGCCCACGCTAATTATACCTTTGAAGTTGAAGCTGTAAATGGAGTTTCTGACTTAAGCCGATCCCAGAGGCTCTTTGCGGCTGTCAGTATCACCACTGGTCAAGCAGGTATGCTTTTTGTTTGTCTTTACTGAAAGCATAGTGCGTGACTTCATGAGTGAGGTGTCTTGCTTGAATATTTAATTAACACTGCTGCACATAACTGTGACCGCAGCTTGTTGATTACACATTAAACTTTTTCTTATTTTTTCCTGTTGTGTTTTAAACCATTACTTTATTCACTAAAATCTCCAGAAATCTGGCAGGAGAAGTGAAAGAAGATAAATTATAAACTTGTTAGGACCAATGAAAGTTAGGCAACTCTGTTGAAAGATCTAGAAGAGGAAAGTAAAAATATCAGTCAAAATGAGGTGAAAGATATTTCTCAAATGTTTATCTTTTGTTGTGATGTATGCAGGTGACCAGAATCTACACATTTTTAAGAAAAATATGTGTTAACTCACATAACATTGACCAATTTTTTACAACATAGAATATGATCTTTGTAATATATGATAAGTTGCATTTAAATTTACATGAGAGAATTTTAACTTTATTGTAAATTTGCATTATATGAGTGTACAATATTTGAATAAGTACTTGGAATGATTCAAAAGGAATGATAATAATTGTGAAAGTGTAGTTTAGCCTAAATGTAGCTTCTATTTATTGTCTTACTAGAATGTGAGATTCCTTCCTTGGCCATTCTTTGTTGTGACAAGTCTGTTGTGGAAAGTATATATGGGAAGGAAATTTCAGAAAATGAAAACTTTCTAAACCAGAAAAATCTTATTACTGAAGGAAATAGCAGAAATTGGAGACTTACTCAATTTTTTAAAAATTTATAGCTAAAGAATGATCCTGTGTAGTAGAAGTAGCCAAGTATTTTATCATTATTAATAAAATTGGACCTACACTAGAGTGTAGAGTTGTGTGTAGAACATGGCAGGTGTATCATGAGCTCCTCGTGGTTTTTGGCTGACTGTCTAAAAGGAACCAGTATGACCCCAAATTCGTGGACACTGACTATTCTTATGCCAGTTTTTTATGATACCTTTACCAAAATATCACCTATTAAATTCTATCTTTATAAGGAAAACTGTGCATGTACTTCTCATACTGAACAGATTAGTGGGTTCATAATTCTAAAGATTTGTTCTGTCATTTTATTTAAAAGGCTGTTTCAAGGCAGGAGGATTGCCACAAGTTCGAGGCCAGCCTGAGCTACATAATGAGTTCAGGGCCAGCCTGAACTATAAAGTGAGACCCTGTCTCAAAAAAAAAAAAAGGATGTTTCAAATCAGATCTCCTATGTAAGAAGCAATACCATAGATAAAACATAGAAACTTAAATCTTGAATAATTAGACAAAAACTTAGCTGATTTAATTGGTATTTTGATTTTTTCATTTTGTCTTTGAAATTTACAATACAGTTTAGTATCTTTTAAAAATATTTTGTCTAGGCATTTTCACTAATGTTGCTTTTTATTGAAATTTGTCATTATTAACTTATAGAGTGTGTTTGAATTATTTCAGGCTTACAGTTTTGACATTAGAACTATCTTCTGGAACCATTGATAGGAAATTTTAGGAATTTTGTTGAGATAGAATATCATTTTTTATTTCTAATAATATAATATTTTACTTACTTATTTTACTATGACTTTAGGATACTGAGTTGCTATCACAAGTAGTTTGCCAAACTGACCAATTTGAGGATTTCTTTTCTTGGTATTTAAATGTCATTTAATTTTTCAAATTAATGCTGCGTGTGTTCACTTGGTCATAGTATTTCCATAAATTGTGGTATTAAATATTTTTTTCAGTATCATAGTTAGAGGAAACATCTTAGGATATTGTTTTATTGCAAACTAGGTTTGGTTATTTTGTGGAACTTTTTCTCTTTTTGCTGGTTTATTTTAGGGGAAGTTAGTTTAAAAGTAAAAAGAAATTGACCATTGCTAAAAGGTGGTTAGATTATGATAGCTATGCACTTCTGTAAAACATGCTAAAAATATTGAATTGGGTGCTTCACATGAGTAAATGTTGTGGTTTGTAAGTAACACATCAAGAAAAAGAATATGTAAAAATAAATACAATGACTTTATTAAGAAAGTAAATGTAAAGGTTCATAAACTAGATATGTACTTTTATATTAAAATATTAATTAGTGACTTCCTAGATTAAACTCTATATCAAATGATAAAACCCACAGATTCACAATTGTCTTTTTCTAGTTTCAAGAAATGCCTGAAATAGTATGAAATAGTGTATAGTGGCAATTTATTTATTTATTTTTGGTACTGGGGATCGAACTCAGGACCTTGCGCTTGCAAGGCAGGCAGCAGAACCACTGAGTCAAATCCCCAGCCCTATAGTGACAATTTAAAAACTCTTCTTTAACATAGGGAAAGGATAGTGTAGTTGCTTTTTTTTTTCCTTTTGTATACCCCAGTTGTACATGCCCCCGGTTGCCAAAATGCTTGTTCTTTATTTAAAAAAAAAAAAAAAAGATGATTTGAAAATCTTCCTAACTATCCGATAAAGCCTACAGTCATCCTTGAAATTCTCATTCTCCCTCAAGTAAGCAACATCGTTTCCACCCTAACTTATGCTGTGCTCACTTTGAGCATGAATTTAAACCTGGATATTTGGTCATCATCAGTCCCTTGTTATAAAAAATTTATTAAGAGAATCTTCATGTGTCCGGGAAAGATTAGAGGGTAAGGATGTAAAATAATTGACCACTGCTAGAAGGTGGTTTATGCACTGTGTAGTTTCCTTTCTGTTAAGGTTCGAGTCTGAACCCAAACTCCTGACCAGGGCTTGTGTAAGTAGACTCCAGCGAATACCTCTTGTCCCTTGCTCAGGGTAGCAGCAAGGACATTGGCCTTAACATGCAAGGGCCTGATGTGCCACTTGTGGATAGGCCGTCAGGCTCAGTTTATAAACTTCAACATAAATAGAAAATGGATAAAATACTATCTCCTGTATTATCCTATTAAATCAGATGACAGGCAAAACATTGAAAACTCTTTATTTCTATAAAAGTGCTGTTTCAGGGAATAGCAAAATGTAAGTTGATTAGTCATCTTTTTTATTTAAGTTTTTAGGAATCTGTCAAGAAAAATAATGTAGATATCTTCATCTTTTAAAAAGTGGAAAATAATGAGTACAAAATTAGCAATTACATGTTACATCATTAGGGAAGAGGGAAATTAATTTTGTTTTGTCAGTAAGAAATAGGACTATTATCTAGTCACCAGCTATTTTAAGACTAGGTTTCTTATTTAAATTGGTCATTTTAGATTTAGGATGAGATTTATATAAATAATAACATATGAATAGTCCTATATTTTTTATATTTACTCACCTGCAACATATAATATACATAAATTGGCTGAAACACGCATTATATTTTGTTGCTGTTTTAGGAGTTGTATTGGTTTATTGAAGCTGAAATCAAATACATTAAGCTTATGTACATTGGAGAATTTTTTAAAATATGTAAGTGATGGGGAAATCATATGTGTTTCATTTATGACAGCATAATCCTCATTTTTACATTAGAAGACTGTCTTGAATACTATAGTATTAGAAATTATTTCTAAGTACTAAATGCTGCTATTTTTGTTTGTTTTATTTTCTTCTTCTCTTTCTTTCATTCATTCTTTCTTTCACTTTTTTTTTGGTACCGGGGATCGATTTTTGAGTCCTTGCACTTACGAGGCTTGCAGCGGAACCACTGAGCTAAAGCCCTAGCCCTGTTTTGTTTTCTCTTTCTGAATGGGTTTTGCTGTGTTACCCTGACTGGTCTCTAACTCCAGGGAACAATTCATCTTCCTGCCTCAGCTTTCCAAGTAGCTGGGACTATAGGTGTGTGCCATAGCACTGGGCTAAATGTTACTTTTTAATAATCAATTCACCCAACCCTATGAAATATGTAATGTGTGAAACACTGAAAGTTGCTAAGGATAAAAAACTAGAGAGTGGTCCTTTTTTTTTGAGTCCATACTGTAGCAATATACACTTACTTACACATCTAATGATGCTACATATGACTGCAATGTAATACATGCTATAAAACATTAGGAGCAAAATACAGAAACATTCAAGAAAGAATGATTCATTCTGTCTGTGGAAAAGAGGGAATTTTTATGAAAAAAAATATTCCAGTAAATCTAGAGTTTCAGAATGGATATGGTTTTGCCAGATGAAGGGCAAGTAAGTCATACTGAGGATTTGAGGAGAACCACCGTTTCTCTTCAGTTATAGCATTATAATTGCCACTGTATTCCTTCTACAGTCCAAGTATTATGCTACAAAAATGGTCTCCAGATGTACAAAAGTTATAAAAGGAGATCACCTGAAAATTGTTGTCTCTTTCTGTAACAGTTATTCACTCTGAGATCATTTAAGCTGTTAAACAATTCTTAACTTTGTTAGTAAAGATAATATAAAATTATAAAAATAAGTCCTCTTGCCAAAGAGATTTAGGGGATTTAGCAATTATGCTTCTGATCAGCAACTGTGTCGTGTTTATTGGTGCCACCATTGACTAACACATTTCATTCTGCACACATATAAAAATATGTAGGTGAAGGGGCCAGGGATTTAACTCAGCGGTTCGGTGGCCTGCCTTGCAAGCACAAGGACCCGAGTTCAATCCTTGGTACAAAAAAAAAAAATGTAGGTGATGGAAAAATCATATGTATTTCATTTATGACAGCATGATCCTCATTCTTGCATTACAAGATTGTCTTGAGCACTGTAGTATTAATAATTATTTTTAAGTACTAAATGCTGCTATTTTTGTTTGTTTTGTTTTATTTTTATGGATGGGATTTGCTGTGTTACCTTGATTGATCTCTAACTCCTGGGAATAATTCATCCTTCTGCCTCAGCTTTCCAAGTAGCTGGATGATATGGGTATTGTGGAATTAAGTCCGGTGGGAAGAGGCCGGGGATTTAGCTCAGTAGCATAGTGCCTGCCTTGCAAGAGCAAAGTCCTAAGTTCCATCCTTGTACCACACACACACACACACACACACACAAATATATATATATAT